CTTCTGCGTATCAGTGGAAAGATAAAATTGTGAATTTTATAAATATCCAACTATAATACATTCATCAATTACTAATTAGGGATATTAGGTTGTTTATGCATTCATTTTCAGTGCACCTATGCATTTTTACCCCCCCTGCTCAACAAAAACAGAAAAAAATCTGACAAAATAAGTTTTGTGCATTTCACAGAACAAATCCTAAGGTTTTCTTTTATTGTGCTTTTAGGGTACATTTTCCACCTCTTGAAAGGGCTACATTACCTGCTACTTGACTCATGCAATTCTGCACATGTGAAAACCGGGAGTTATCTCCCCCTATTAAAAAGTCTCACAATTTTTTTTTCTAAAAGTGAATGTACATTTTTTTTCTTTTAATATAAAGATAAGACTCTAATTTATGCGAATAAAAACAAAAAAGATGCAGTTTTCATCTAGATTCCTATAAATAGCAGGAAAATCCCTACCCAGCATGCTTCTCTCTGGGGAAAACCCCCTGGATTTTATACGAAACTGTGTTTAGCTACCAAAATATACTCGTGAAACCTTGTAACGCTACAGTTCGATTCAGCAGTCAAGTCTCACTGCACAAATGTACCCTTTATAAATGTAATGAAATATATACCCTTGAATTACTGTGCAGTGTAGAGACGATTCATAATACTAGTACTTCATACATAATTATAATCAAATACAATATTCTCCCTCAGCAATCATCTGATTAAAAAAAAATAGTCGACCTACTTGTTCCACAAGTCAACGATAAGATCATATAATATTCCATACATATGTATTTACTATTTTTTAATGAGAAAAATAAAATTATATATGTATTTTTCAAAATGTAATCCAAAATTATTTTTATTTCGTTATAATACATTAAACATTTTTCTTGCAAATATTATTTTAGCAAATGACCCATTTGTTATAAATATATTCAACGATTTCTTGATAGTAAAAACATAACAAAGGGGAGTAATCAAATGTTGAACCCGCTTTTGATTGGTTAGTTTGGATCTTGAATTTCGAAACTCGAATTTCGAATCTTGAATTTCGAATTTCGTATTTCGAAACTTGAATCTCGAATGTAAAAGCCCAAAAGGCTCATTCGAGATTCGAAATGAAAGCGAAAACAGAGTTTGCCATTCAAAATCCAAATTAACCAATCAAAAGGCAGGTTCAACTTTGATAACTCCCCTTTATTATGTTTTACTATCAAGAAATCGTTGAATATATTCATGTCAAATGGGTCATTTGCTTAAATGATAATGCAAGAAAAAAAAGATATATGTATCAAAACGAAATAAAAAGGAATGTTAGGTTACATTTTGGAATATATATATATATAAATTCTTATTTTTCCTCATTAAACAAAGCAATAGATACGTATATAGAATATTATATGGTCTTATCGTTGAATTGCGGAATTCTTCAGTTCGACATTTTTTTTAATAAGAACATTGATGAGGGAGAAAATTATTATTTATATGAAATACTAATGAGGGTACATTTCTATACATTGTGCCCCCCCCCCCAATAATTTTGCCGATACATAAAATACTATAGAAATCATAACTACTATATGCTTGTTCCCCCTCAATAAAAACATCTGATGACTTTTTTTGCTTTGATTTTGGTTGTCAAGAAATTTTTGGTAGTTGGTAGTTGTGCCCCCCCCCCCCCCCCCCCAATGAAATGAGCATTTGATATAAATGAAAAATAAAATAAATTCCAGTCTGTATTGTATGGAAAGCCGTAGGAAATATAATAATAATGTGGGGGTACCCTAAGGCTTTCCATAGTATTGTACAAATGTATCTATGATTTTTGATTAATTCAAGTTATCAAAGCCTTAGACCAAGATAAGTAATTGAAAACTAAATTTTTATGTATTTCCTCTATTAGGAAACCTACAAAATATTTTGTGCCCTAGAAAAACGAAATAACGTAAATGAGAATATCAACAACTTGATTAATAATGATGGCAAATATGTAAACTACCAACAAGAGAAAATAAAAATCAAGAACTCGATGGTCTTGAAGATGTATGAACTTGTGTAAAGATTAGGTATGTATATCTTCCGAGACCCGAGCGGTTTTCTTTTAAATAATTATCGAATATATATTTATTGTATCCATGCATCGCTTGATTGACAATGAATGTTGCTAACCACACATTTGCCCCCCCCCCTTCCAACTTGGCCATTCCCGTAATATTTTTCCGATATAATATACCATAGAAAACAGTAACTTTATGCTTATGTCCATTCAAAAATAACTTCCAATTACCATGATAACCCCTATTTTTCGAGGTTGCGGTGGGGATAGGGGAATTAACAATTAATAATTATTTTTTAAAGATTTATTATTCCCAATGGGTCATTATCTTTATTAAGCATGCGTGTTTCAGCCATTCGTATTTAAGGGGTTGTCTATTGGTTTCATAAACTTGGTCACTGGCCACTTTCTAATACCGTGTCACAAACACTATCCACCTTGAAACCCGAAGTACTAATTATTGCAGAGACGAAGCATCGATTTTGAAAGTATGGTTGGGGGAGGGGGGCGGTTAGACAAAAATATTATTTCAAACCTGAAAATAAAAACTGACAGAAAAAATTTGTCCAAACCCGAAAATCCTATTTCGGGCGTGAAAGGAGACGGGGGGGGGATCGAACTTCATTTAGTACCTAATTTATTTTAATACACTAATACACTACTACTTAAACTTCTTTGACTATACTGCACCACTGTACCAAAACGGGTGGGGGGGGCTTGGCAACAGACCTTTCGATGAACATTTTCAATAGTAATCAATGTACTCATAAGTACAGAGAGCCGGGCTCATTTACAGAGTAGAATGGATTTCTTACATGAATCACGTTTATATTCTGATGAAAAAATTATTTTAAAACTATCAATATAAATGATAAGACACTGACAGTGAGTTTTTCAATCCTAATACCACGGTCCGATTTTGTCAGAATCAGAATTAATCTGGTACCGCAGCTGAATGTAAACAAACAGGCCAGTCTGGTTCCCTCTCCTGCTTTACCTCGTATGTGTAGAGAAGTACGGTAACACTGATTATCAAACATCCTTACGCTAATGAACTATGTTCTTTGACTCATGAAGTTTTCAAAGTCATTACTACTAATGTTTATTTTATATAGATAAAACTTCGTTTTATTTTTGTTGCTTTATTTAGCGTTTGTATTATCTCAAAAGCGGTTGAGAGTAAGAACTATATTTTTGCACGTAACTTTAAAATGGCGACTATGGGGTCAACATCCTGCCTTGAACAGGATCACATAAGCCGGCAATTGCTCTTTGAGCAATAAGCCCGGCTAAAAATTATATTTGGAAAAAAGGGGGGATGCATGTACTGTTAATCTAAGTTTACTATTACGTCAACAACCCTGTATCCAAAGTAGATAACACGAAATATATATTTTCTTTATATAAATCTCTTATGACATTTAAGAAGCTATTATAAACTAATTAAGCATATCTTGCAGGCCAAAATCCAATATTTCTTTAAATTTCGTTTTGATAATATATAACACTTTTTCTTGCCTTGTAATTTAATCAAATGACCTCCTCAATATTAAAATACTCAACGATTTCTTCATAGTAAAAAATAATAAAGGGGAGTAATTGAATCTCAAACCGCCTTTTGATTGGTTATTTTGGATCTTGAATCTTGAAACTCGAATTTCGAATCTCGTATTTCGAATCTCGAATGAGCCTTCTGGGCTTTCGTAATATATGCTATAAAACAATCAAATGTTCATTGCGATTTTTTCGCTACAAATCGTGGATTAAAACAGTAAGACGATTTGAGTCCGACACTTTTTAACATTTATCCAAGATTTTACAGAATATTTTTAAAAGATTTTTCCTGTTCAATTGAACAACATAAACTTCACAGCTTATTTTTTGCAGACGATTTATTACTTGTATCAGAATAAGTAATGTGGCTACAACAGTCTTTTCATTCATTGGAAATTATTGTTGTGACTGGAAGTTAGAAGTAAGTACACCAAAAATAAAAAAAAAACGAATGCTACGGTATTTTCTGGTAAAAACCTTTAAAAAAAATGAGTTGTAAAACAATACACCCTAGCTGTGAATTCTTGTTTGCCATTTTTTCGTTCATATAAATGTTAATTATTTACCCTAAATTTCCGACAGAAACTAGAAATTTAAATTGGGAAAATATACTATCGAACATACTTGTATAAATATCTTCTTTGTTGGAAGAAAAAATAGATAATTACATTTATATTCACAAGTTATACGTGATTTTACAGTTTGTTTTTTCTAGAACTTTTTTCATTTTTTTTGTATTTGTTGTCAAATGAAAACCTTTTCATATAAGCTATCATCAAGTAAAGTGTTTTAAGGATCACATGTGTCGGCCTCTGTATCATCCATAGAAATATATGAAGAGTATTCAAGCTTTTTGCTTTGAATTTTTTAAAAATAGAATGTCAAATGTAACTATGATAATTTAAAAAAAAAAAAAAACATCTTTTTTATAGATTAAACAATTTAAAAGACATATTTCTTTGGCACAAATATCAAGTCTTGCCAAAGACTTCAGTTTATCAAGATAATAATTCACTTCTACACAGATCAAAACCTCATTATCAGGTAGATTTCTAAAACACTGAGTCAGTTTTTTAGAAATATTTTTAAAGTAGCCACTTCCCAGTCATCTTCGCTAGCCAAGGATTTCCGATCCGATACCTACTCTTGTAGACTGTCATGGGATTGGAGGCCTTGAATAAAGGATACATTGTTCATTCATATTGTTGTTAGTCTGTGCTACTCTTGTAGAGTAGGTATCGGATCGGAAACCCTTGGCTAGCGAAGATGCTTCCCAGTATTATTGGAGCGAATATAACATTGAAATCTCATAAAATCATTTGAATAATTGGGAGGGGGAGTTTTGCACAATACTTGTAATATGACGTCAGTGTGTGACATATGGCTTTACCTTAATAAAACCATTTACGATTTTTATGTCTAGGGCGATCGACAGGAGGTGGTTTAAATAAGTTATTTTCACTTTCTACTGTACATTCTCGTTCAAGGAGAGAAACGCGTTCTGTACATATTTCGTACTGTGTTGATTTTGAAATCTCTTTATATTTATCTTCATATATCAATGAAGAATAGCATTTAGAGGCTACTTCGATCGCAGACGACAAAAGACGTTCCAGGTTAAATCTTTCAGCAGCAATTATGTAATCTAGAATTGTTTCCCTGGTAAGTGTTCCAATTTTAGGCGGATCTTGGCTGGCCTTTTCGCAAATAGCCACGAGACGTTCTTCGCATTTTTTCATTTTATCTTTATCTTGAGTCTCCCAGGCAAATTCCATTAACTCTGAAATAGTTTCATCTCCTGAAATAAAATAAAAAATATCAATCAGGATCGGATGTACACCTAATCCCCTTTTTTTAAAATTTAGAACGATTTCCACATTCGGTCAAGCATAACATTCAAATTAGCATCTTATAGTTGAATAGTTACCTTTTTCTACAGAGGTTGCTACTTGGCGTTCCATGAGAGAGCATCGAATATCCAAAATTTTTCGGTGCGTATCAGCTGAAACTTTCGCTTTGAGTTTTGCCCTTTTCAAAGACTCAGCACTGTGTCTTGAGCAAAGTTTAATAATCAGAGAAAGAGCCAAAGTCATATTGTGATTTTCGGCGTACGAAGCATATTCCAGCAGAGTTTTTATATCAATACGGATCTCCCTGTTTTTAGATGCTTGTTTGCAATGGTCTAAGATAAATGATTCACACTTATCTTTGAGGTCCATGATTTGGTATTCATCTGCCAGAGATCCTGCCGTCAGTACATTTTTCTCTGAAAATTATATAAACATTTTTTTTCATTTGCAATTGCACTACTGAAATAGGAAAATTTTTTTTGCGATGTTATATCATTATTACATAATCCATCTCTAAAATAAAATGATAATAAGGTAAATGAAGGATATTAAGTGTCATTCAAGGAGGATCAATCACAGGCACTTGTTACTATAAATTTTAACTATAAGTATATAATAATAACACAAGGTATCTAACTCCAAATTACACGGAGTACCGCCTTCCTATAAAATCGCGCTCAATTACACTTTTAGAGAAAAGGCAGTGGCAAACTGTCTATATCTATGTCATCTTAGATAATTTATCTACACAACCATATATGGATAGCTTGTCTTTGTTGTTGTGTTTGTGCTTCTTTAGCATGAGCACATGTGTTACCACAAGAGCGCAGCCATTGTGAACTACTTTATTACTGAAGATATTCATGCGCAATGTAATAGTAACAGATAAACCAAACATGTACAGATATCATAATTCCGGATACAACATTTGTTTTCTTTAATCTCTGTAAACAGCCTCAACACTCGAGGCTACTCGCCGAGTGGAAAAGTCGAATTAAACCATAAAACAGTGTTTGCTATTCTCGGGCAAAGAGAAAAATTAAAGAATGCGTGGGTTTAAAAAATTCAATTCCAGATTTTAAATATTGCGTTGAATGAATAAAATTTCATGGTGTCTTATTTTCCATTACACGGAGTACCGTCTTCCTTAGAAATCGCGATCAATTACACTTTCAGAGAAAGGCAGTGGCAAACTGTCTATACCTGTGTCATCTTAGATAATTTATCTACACAACCATATATGGCTTGCTTGTCTTTGTTTTCTTTAATCTCCGTAAACAGTCTCATAACTATAGGCCACTAGCCGAGTGGAAAAGTCGAACTAAACCAGAAAGCCTGAAATGTCATCTCTTTGGTATCAATAATTTCAAAGAAATAAAACAGAAAGGGAAATATTTTAATGCAATGAATATGGATTGTTATACCTGAAGTTCCCAAATGACTTATTCAGCAAACAGAAAACTAAGCTGACAGGTATTTTAACATAAGCAAGAGCAATCCAAAGGTTATTTCTACCCACGTAGCTCAAGTATTTTTTTTTTAAATCTTTCGAAAGAAGCCACCTTTACCTACGTTTTGTTCACTTACATTTTAGTGAAAATGAGGGGCAGGGTACCACGCAGTTATTAGATATGGATACTACCTATATATTTATTAATGCCTATAAAAGTGATTTTTCCTTCTTATTGTACATGTTGTACACTAATCACAGACTGCTTTTGATTCATTTTACCGATATTAAAAAAAATATTCAAGGATTTCTATGAGAGGGATGAAGTGTCTGACAATAATTATCATTCATTTAAAAGCAGCTAATCATTAAAGTTTGACAGGAATTAAATTAATAAATCCAATTACAGACTAAAAAGTTAACATAAAATTAGGCATAATGTTAGCGTTGACCACTCTTCATTTTTTGCAGAATCTAATTTAATCTTTGAATGAAATGCTTTGCATATTTATTTGTATTTATTTCTACTGTAAAGCATGCATATAAATTTTAGCATCGCAGTCCCTGCTGTTAGGTTAATTTAACCTGGATTTGGTCTATTGATCGCACACCTGTAAGCTTGTTCTTTTGTGCGAGAAGCAGTTTTCCCTTCGCGTCAACAAATCTATATATAGAAATCACGTCATTGTCAATTCTCCTTGTGTGGCTTACCAATATCAATAAGATTAATATATATACGACACACCGAAATATAGGTATTTATAAGCATCGTACTTCTTTTCTAAATTTTTCTTGCCTTTCCTCAAATAGGCCTAAATCGAAAGTAGATCACACACTTCTAAGCTAGTTCTTCTAAGATAAAACCAGTTTACAGGCTACTTGGAACTCCTTGTGTAGATTCTCACTTTAGATATTGTAAAACATCGAGGATTCCCGAAAGATTAATGGAGGCTTACACTAGGACTTCACTTCCGGCATACAATCGGGAGATGACAAAAACAGTGTTTGCTATTCTCGGGCAAAGAGAAAAGAATGCGTGGGTTTAAAAACTCAATTCCATATTTTAAATATTGCATTGAATGAATAAAATTTCATGGTGTCTTATTTTCCATTAAAACACAACGTTGTTTTTCCGATGTAATTTTAGAAACAGATTTTTAGCCAATCAAATTCAAGGTCTTTGTCCGAGATTAGCACATACCTTTTTATGGTTTAGTTTGACTTTTCCACTCGGCGAGTAGAGTTTTGACGCTGTTTACGAAGATTAAAGAAAACAAAGCCGAACAATTTTAAGCCATTATATAGTTGTGTAGATAAATTATCTTGGTATAAACAGTTTGCCACTGCTTTTTCTCTGAACGTGTAAATGACCGCGATTCTAAGGGAGGCGGTACTCCGTGTAATTTGGAGTTAGATACCTTGAGTTATTATTATACTATGGGTTAAAATTTATTCCTGAAACAAGTGCCTGTGGGATCAATCCTGTGCTTCTGAGCATGCACACTTCTGTTTCAACCCCTTATTGTACAAAATTCATATTTAAGAACGTATAATTCATTTAGATTCTACAATGGAATTTGAATATACTTTTATTCAATTAGAAATCACAATCAATTACCATACAAAGTACATTAAGCGTTTTGTTTATCGAAGAAGAAAATTATATTTTTTGTCACCCAAATTTTTCCATAACTAAATAACTTGAAAGAAGATTTTGTGCATTTGGCGTGTGATCTGCAGGAATCATTTGTACGAAACATTTATGGTTTAAATGTCCATGATTTGGTTGGCTGAACATAGCTTGTCAATTTTACAAACATGTCTATATTCATTTATTCATTTAGTTTGAAAGACTTTGTGAGATTGTAACATTTATGTCCGTTTTTCCTAGGGGGTACTATAATATAGTAATGTTTCACAAAAAATAAAAACCTAAATTATTTAATGCATTTAAACATATGCATATACGTGTACATGTACATTTTATAGAATAGAAGATTGGAATTTATTTTGAACCAAACTGAACCAAAATATATCTAATTCAAAATTTTAATACATCAGTACATAAAACGAAGCTGACAAAATAAATGGTTGTTTGCATGAAAAAACAAGATGTGTTTGTAAAACACTGATGCCCCCGTATGGCAACATAGCAAAGATTAAGCTTTTCTTAAATGCAAATTTAATTAATTGGTACCAAAAGAAGGGTACTCTCATTGGAAAACAATTGTGAAATTTGAAAGTAAGCTAATGTTAAAGTTTTTTAATAAGTACAAAAATCTCCAAGGTCAAGGTCAAAAGGTCAATATAATTAGTATCAAATGAAAGGTCTTGCCACATAAAATACTTATGTAGAGCATGAAAGCCCTAGCCCTATCCGTTCAGAAGTTATGGTCAACGTTCAATTTCTTAAAAAGTAGGTCAAACTCCAAGGTCAAGGTCAAAGGGTCAAAGTTATTGTTATCAAATGAAAGGTCGTCTTGTCATAAGAATCAAATATGTAAAGTATGAAAGCACTAGCCCTAACTCTTTAAAAAATATGGTCAAGGTTTGCTTTTTTAAAGTAGGTCAATCTCAAAGGTCAAGGTCAAAGTCTACATAATAAAATACTTATGTAGAGCATGAAAGCCCTAGCCCTATCCGTTCAGAAGTTATGGTCAACGTTCAATTTCTTATAAAGTAGGTCAAACTCCAAGGTCAGGGTCAGAGGGTCAAAGTTCTTGGTATCCAATGAAGGATCTTCTCACAAGAATTACATATATGAAGTATGAAAGCCCTATCCCTTAGCGTTCAAAAGTTATGGCCAAGGTTAAAGTTTTTTCACAAGTACATAAATCTACAAGGTCAAGGTCAAAGGGTCAAGGTTGTTGGTATCCAGTGAAAGGTCTTTAAACAAACATTACATATGTGAAGTATGTAGGTCCTGGTGTCTACTGTTCAAAAGATATGGCCAAAGTAAAATTTTAAAATTTTCATGTAAAAGTGGGTCAAACTCCAAGGTCAAAAAGTGAAATTTTATAAAGAATACACATATGAAATATGAAAGTCTTAGCTCCACTAAATCAAAAGTTATGGGCAAGGTTAAAGTTTTTGCGGACAAACAGACAAACAGAGAGACAGAGAGACAGCTAGACAGACAGACGGACACGACAAAAACTATATACCCCCGAAACTTCGTTTACGGGGGCATAAAAATTAACGCCCCATGCAAGGCTCGAACCAAAAACTATTCTTGTTTAGTGCACTGAATAGGTAGCCCAACTGACTGAGCTATCAGCGCTACACATATACAGATGATTTTAAAAGGACAAAGAAGCACCACATTCACATATTTGGATTTTTGGGGGGAAAATCATTTTTCGTGGTCTCTGGGTCTTCTCTCCATTTTTAAAAATGTGTTTATGTTTCTTTGAATTAAAATACACACAAATAACGTCTAAAAATCATGGAGAGAAGACCCAGAGATAGAAAATTTTTAAGAAAAACGTGTTTAAAAATGTACAATTATGTACCAAATGTCTGATTTGGCCAATTTTCATGTTATTTTTTAGCAAGTCAAAGCTCAATTTCGGAAAACTATTTTCATATCCTGTTGCACAGGAAAAAATGTAAAAATTTCACGTGACATGTCGATAAAATTTTCACTTTTCAATTACGCCCATATTCCTGTCGAATGCCGATCAAAAGCGCCCTCGTTCTTTCATTCCATATTTTGTTTACATAATATGCCCTTTATTTGTCAACATGAAACAATCAGTTTTGTTCTCCAGTGAGTCTGAGTTCATTTGCAATGAAAGACAGAACGATTATAATGCAGTCGATTAAAATTTTGATTTAAAATATTTTTACCGTAATATTAAAAGAAAACAGATCACAAAATTCACTCACGCTGTCAGACTTGAACTATCCTAACATCATCAATATGTTTGATCATATAGTGAAAGACTAAAATGTGAAGGCGAAGGCACAAAACCATGGATATTTGAATTACTTCTTTAGGAACATGTGGGATTTCATCATCTCACTTATGAGGAAGTCTCGGTTGTAATAATAAGAACCTCGTAGAAAATTTATTACTGCTTGTATGTTTTGATAATCTCAGAGTTCTTTATATGGAAGTAAATTTCAGTGTTTTCTTGATTTCTTTATAACCAATTTTTACAGAATTTTGCGATTTATTATCCTTTATTTTGCCCTTATGGTTTAGTTACTTCAATGGTATAGTATAACAACATATCGTAGAATGAATGAACCCAGAGTAACACTTACCGGTTATTGGAGCCACCAGTTCGGGGTTATAAAAAGTGTATAAAAAATTCACAAATTCTTCATACTTCTTTCCTGGCAGAGGTATCCTTTCTTTTCCTTTTTCAATGAAGTCAGATTCAAACATAGTCTTAAATACGGGTGACCTTTCCATCAACGTCTGTTTATTAAGGTGTATATCCTTTCCTTCTACCTCAAGTATAATGTCAGAGGGAGGGAAGGGTTTCAGCGGCTCTTTCATATCGGCACTGGATGGTAATTCGCAAGCAGTCTTGTCCATCCTTCTGCATAGGAGCTTTGGTGTCTTGCATTCAATGTCCATGATATTTTTCGTCCTACGTGTACATGTAATAGTACAATTAAGGCTAAAAATGTTTGCAACGAACCTTGTTCAAAATTTCAAAAGAAATATTTATATGGGGGTCTGTACGGGGTTTCCGTCGACATTTTTTTATGCAACAAAAATAGAACTGCTGTCTTCGCGACATGGTAAATTATAGTATTATTATACTCGCAAACTGCAGGCTGAACATTCTATCCAAGATTATCTCGGCATGCCATATAATTAAGATGAAATATATTTATATCATTTTGATATTTAAAGTGTAAATATTTTTAAAATACAGAGCCAACGATTCAATATGTTTTCGTTATTTTTAAGATGCATTGTAACTGATTAGACCGTCCTTACGTTAACTCTGAAATTAAAAAGCAACAAATTGCCGTTTCAATATAAAAAGAAACATTTTAAGGGGAGACAACTAAGAAATCAAGCTATCGTTTTTGTACTCTTAGTAGATGTGTTTGTTACTGCGCATTTCATTTTTGCCAAATAGATAATACATTTACCTTTAGGATACCCTTATATTCAGATAAAAGAATATCGATTATTGCATTTAAACCTACTGAATATGTGTCGGTAATTGTTTTAGTTTGTCATGAAATAGATTTTAAAAATTGACAATATAAATAGTGCAAATAAATTTTCGAGAACAACATATACCTATGGAACTTCTTTATATTCTGGCACTACATTTTGTGGTTGTTGTTGTTGTTGTTGGTTTTTTTTTTTTTTTTTTTTTTTTTTTTTTGCTTGTTTGTTTGTTTGTTTGTTTGTTTTTTGAAACTTTAAAAAAAATATTTGTCATCAAATGAAAACCTTTTTAACCAAGTTATCATAAACTGAAGTTTGTTAAGGATTTCATGTGTCGGCCTATGTATCATCAATAAAGACATAAATGAAATATATGGAGATAACGAACAGTTTTAAAGTTAAATAGCCCATAAAACAAAACGAAATAGAAGCACAGTAAACACGGACCTCTAAGACATCAGAGATTGGATCAGGAACCATGGAGGAGTGAGCATCCCCTGACGACCGGTCACACCCGCCGTGTACTTATTGTTATGATCGGGAAATAACGGAAAAATCCGTCGTCAATTCAGTGTGTAAATGGAATCTAACTGTAAATGCAGATAAAACTAAAATAATGGTTTTTTAGAAATGGAGGAAAAATGAAAGAAAATGAGAAGTGGTTTTTCGACAAAAAAGAATTAGAAATAGTAAATGAGTTTAATTATCTCGGATTATTATTAAATTATAATTGTAAATTTACTAAAGCACAACAGAAACTTGCAAAGCAAGGACGAAAAGCTCTTTTTAGCATTAATAGTAAACTAAATGATTGTATATAAATTTGTTTTTTCTTTGTTTGTGTTGGAGAGGACATTCTAAGCTGAATAACTTCTTTCTGATCCCATTGATTATGAGATATGTAAAGTTAGCTACTAGTAACTGGCTACTAGTAGCTGGCTACTACAAGTGGTAAAGTTAGCTACCAGTAGCTGGCTACGAGAAGTAAGTAAATTTGGCTACTAGTAACTGGCTACTAGTAGCTGGTTACGAGAAGTATGTAAAGTTGGCTACTAGTAACTGGCTACTAGTAAATGACTTGAACCTTCTAAGAATAATCGTCTAGTATCTTTTGTGTAAAATTATGCAAACTTGGGATACAAATGTAGATATTCTTGAAGTAGCTGGAATTTTAGACCGCTGATATCCACTGATAGTGTTGAAAAAAAACTAATCTCTGAGCTTTTCAACATAATATGGCACTGAAGTTACCAAGATATCGGTAGTAATAAACTCAGCTACTAGCACCTTTTGTCTACAATTATGCTATTTTTGGAGACAAATGTTGATATTTTTGAAGTAGCTGGTTTGTTACCTCGCTGATATCAACTGATATTGCTGATAAAAATAATCTCTAAGATATTCCACATGATCATGCAGTAAAGTTACCAAGATATCGTTAGTAATGAACTCAGCTACTGGTACCTTTTGTCTAGAATTATGCTATTTTTGGAGACAAATGTTGATATTTTTGAAGTAGCTGGTTGTTACCTCGCTGAAGTCAACTGATATTGCTGATAGAAATAATCTCTTAGATATTCCACATGATCTGGCAGTAAAGTTACCAAGATATCGTTAGTAATGAATTCAGCTACTGGTACCTTTTGTCTAGAATTATGCTATTTTTGGAGACAAATGTTGATAATTTTGAAGTTGATGGTTTGTTACCTTGCTGATATCAACTGACATTGCTGATAAAAATAATCTCTAAGATATTCACATGATCTGGCAATAAAGTAACCAAGATATCGGTAGTAATGAACTCAGCTACTGGTACCTTTTGTGTAAAATTATGCCATTTTTGGGATACAAATCTTCATATTCTTGAGGTTGCTGGTTTTTTCCCTCGCTGATATCAACTGACATTGCTGATAAAAATAATCTCAAAGATATTCCACATCATCTGGCAGTAAAGTTACCAAGTTATCCTTAGTAATGAACTAAGCTACTGGTACCTTTTCTCTAGAATTTTGCTATTTTTGGAGACAAGTGTTGATATTTTTGAAGTAGCTGGTTTGTTACCTCGCTGATATCAACTGACATTGCTGATAAAAATAATCTCTAAGATATTCCACATGATCATGCAGTAAAGTTACCAAGATATCGGTAGTAATGAACTCAGCTACTACTACCTTTTGTCTAGAATTATGCTATTTTTGGAGACAAATGTTGATATTATTAAAGTAGCTGGTTTGTTACCTCGCTGATATCAACTGATATTGCAGATAAAAATAATCTCTAAGATATTCCACATGATCATGCAGTAAAGTTACCAAGATATCGTTAGTAATGAACGCAGCTACTGGTACCATTTGTTTCAAATGCTATTTTTGGAGACAAAAGTTGACATTTATAAAGTAGCTGGTTGATACCTCGCTGATGCCAACTGATATTGCAAATAAAAATAATCTCTAAGATATTTCACATGACCTGGCAGTAAAGTTACCAAGATATCGTTAGTAATGAACTCAGCTACTGGTACCTTTTGTGTAAAATTATGCTATTTTTGGAAAACAAATCTTCATATTCTTGAGGTAGATGGATTTTCAAATCGCTGAAATCAACTGATGTTGCTGATAAAAATAATCTCTAAGATAATCCACATGATCTGGCAGTAAAGTTACCAAGATATCTTTAGTAATGAATTCAGCTACTGGTACCTTTTGTTTCAAATTATGCTATTTTTGGAGACAAATGTTGATATTTTTAAAGTAGCTGGTTTGTTACCTCGCTGATATCAACTGATATTGCTGATAAAAATAATCTCTATGATATTCCACATGATCATGCAGTAAAGTTACCAAGATATCGGTAGTAATGAACTCAGCTACTGGTACCTTTTGTCTAGAATTATGCTATTTTTGGAGACAAATGTTGAAATTTTTGAAGTAGCTGGTTTGTTACCTCGCTGAAGTCAACTGATATTGCTGATAAAAATAATCTCTAAGATATTCCACATGATCTGGCAGTAAAGTTACCAAGATATCATTAGTAATGAATTCAGCTACTGGTACTTTTTTTTTCAAATTATGCTATTTTTGGAGACAAATGTTGATATTTTTGAAGTAGCTGGTTTGTTACCTCGCTGATATCAACTGACATTGCTAATGAAAATAATCTTTAAGATATTCCACATGATCATGCAGTAAAGTTACCAAGATATCGTTAGTAATGAACTCAGCTACTACTACCTTTTGTCTAGAATTATGCTATTTTTGGAGACAAATGTTGATTTTTTTAAAGTAGCTGGTTTGTTACCTCGCTGATGTCAACTGATATTGCTGATAAAAATAATCTCTAAGATATTCCACATGATCTGGCAGTAAAGTTACCAAGATATCGGTAGTAATGAACTCAGCTACTGGTACCCTTTGTTTCAAATTATGCTATTTTTGGAGACAAATGTTGATATTTTTGAAGTAGCTGGTTTTTTATGTCGCTGATATAAACTGATATTGCTGATTAAAATCAATCTCTATGATATTCCACATGATATCAGTGATGTAGAAATCCAGCCACTTCAAGAATATCATCATCTATCTCCAAAAATAGCATAGTTTTAAACAAAAGGTTCCAGTAGCTGAGTTTATTACTAATGCTTTCTTGGTAAATTTAGTGCCAGCTGATGTGGAAAATATTTGAGATTATTTTTATCAGCAATATCAGTTGATATCAGCGAGGTAAAAACCCACTACTTCAAAAATTTCAACATTTTTCTACAAAAATAGCATAATTTTAAATAAAAGGTAGTTGCTGATACAAATGTTGATATTATACAAGTGGCTGGATTTTTACACTGCTGATATCTACTGATATTGTTAAAAAAAGGCCCATGGGCCACAAATCACACCTAATCACTGTGAATAGGAAAAAGTAGTAAGTAGAATATACGGTTTGAGCTTTATTGTGCCCTAAAAATTTAATGTTCTGAAAAAGTTTTGAAATTGGCCTTAGCAATAGTTGAGAAGAGGAATATGATAAATCATAAAAGGATATGACATAAAGGAGGGTCTTTCTGGAAATATGACGTCATTAATTTGATACATTTCTAAGATGAATGCAGAAAAGCCCCACAATGACTCATTTTTTGTGCTAATTTTCCTTTAGAAAATAGTGTGTGCCACCGTTGCCCGCTTTAATTTTTGGATATATAATGTTAATTGCTATGAAAAATCACATATCTTAAATCTTTCTAAGCGACGGTTGTAGGGTATGTTTTCTGAAAGAAAATTCCACTGAAAATTGATGTCTTCTGCAACTTTTTAAGAAAATACCGGAGAATGTACAAGTTAATGACGCCACAATTAGCATTTAGGAGGTCATATGAGAAAAACGGTTTGTGTATTCTTACTGCAGGGAATTCCAATGATTCAGAAAGAATGATTTTTTTTACATATCACTTTCCTATTTTAG